TGTTTATTGATTATTTTAGTTCTGACCAGCGTAATAAGTTTCAACTCTTATCATGCAAATGCGAGTTGAAAGGACTTTAGTAAAAAAAGCCATTTCTTTGCACGTATGCTCCATTGTTAATTTTCTTTCTCCATCATATTACATATTTTCTGAATACTGATATGCAAAATACTATGCCAGTGAAGAAGTAACACTTTTTGTTTCTTCCTTTTCCCCAACTGAAGTAGTTCTAACTAATTTAATATGGATAGGCAAGAAATCTCTTAAGTTCTGCTGCTTGTTATGAAGTAGAGTTTGATTCTAAATTCTTAATAAATGACACTGCAAAATGGCTCAGATATTTCTTTCCCTTACTAGTTTCTCATCTTCCTGTTAGTTTGTTATTTTTATTTAATATTCAATGTCCAGGATTTGAACCCTCTGCTGATATCATTACAACGGTAGGTCTGTTGATTCACTGGATGCCTGCATCTATGCTGAAATCAGGACCAGGATCCCTGATACAATTTCATGGGATTACAACTTTGAACCTGCAGGAACAACACCTCTAACTTTTACTGTAAAGGTATTTTGGTGTATTTATGGTACGAAAAGTGGAGTCTTCAGTTGCTTAATTCAAAATGAAAGTGCAGCAGATTTTCCTTTATGGATAATATATTGCTTTTTAAATATCACCTCTGCAGCCGGCTTCCACTGGATTTACGTTGTTATTTGTTGAAACTTTAGCTTTATTTGGTGCATAAAAATACTTTTCACTTTCATTTTCAGTAAACAGATATATGTTAACACATAAAAGCATGCATATTAGCATTGTGCACATGTACACATTATATTTGCTGAGGTTCCTAAAAGTACAATCATGTTTCCTTTATTATATTTTCCATTTTCTCTCTATTTTTCCTTTTAATTCTAAGTTTTAAGAGGTTCAGTCTTGATATTGTTAATGGACTTCAGTCAATTATCTCTTTGGTTCGTGATAGGTTCACCAAATTAGAAATTTAGAAGCTCGGGCTATTCAGCCCAAAACAATAATATTATGGAATAAGAACGAAATATATAGAAATGAGATAAAATGCTTGGCTTAGATTAATGCTTTAGTTTGATGTCTTTCAGATTAGGTGAATCCATAATTCCTATGCAGCTAAGTATATATCATTAGAAATCTATCATGTAATATTCAATATAATAGTGGAATTGGTTAATTGTAAATTGTAAATAAAAATTACATATTTATTGTGCATATCTAGTAGTCGAGGTTAAGAAGTGCTGATTATAATTAAAATAAATCAAATAGGTATTAATGTAAAAACTACTGAGGAAAAAATGCATGTTGATCAGTGTCATTTCTGGTGAATGAGTTTTTTTTGGTGAATGTCTTGATTAAACCATGCAAGTGCTTGTCTTCTGAAGTTGCTTACGAATACTCTTGTCTTGTTCTTTAATTAAGTGCCATATGAAGCAAGAAATCCTGCCCATAGTGTTTGGAAGAGAAATAGGATTATTAAATATAGCATTTCATATTAAGTGGATGACATATACTTAGCTGCATAGGAATTATGGATTCACATAATCTGAAAGACATCAAACTAAAGCATTAATCTAAGCCAAGCATTTTATCTCATTTCTATATATTTCGTTCTTATTCCATAATATTATTGTTTTGGAATTGGTTAATTGTAAATTGTAAATAAAAATTACATATTTATTGTGCATATCTAGTAGTCGATGTTAAGAAGTGCTGATTATAATTAAAATAAATCAAATAGGTATTAATGTAAAAACTACTGAGGAAAAAATGCACGTTGATCAGTGTCATTTCTGGTGAATGAGTTTTTTTTTGGTGAATGTCTTGATTAAACCATGCAAGTGCTTGTCTTCTGAAGTTACTTACGAATACTCTTGTCTTGTTCTTTAATTAAGTGCCATATGAAGCAAGAAATCCTGCCCATAGTGTTTGGAAGAGAAATAGGATTATTAAATATAGCATTTCATATTAAGTGGATGACATATACTTAGCTGCATAGGAATTATGGATTCACCTAATCTGAAAGACATCAAACTAAAGCATTAATCTAAGCCAAGCATTTTATCTCATTTCTATATATTTCGTTCTTATTCCATAATATTATTGTTTTGGAATTGGTTAATTGTAAATTGTAAATAAAAATTACATATTTATTGTGCATATCTAGTAGTCGATGTTAAGAAGTGCTGATTATAATTAAAATAAATCAAATAGGTATTAATGTAAAAACTACTGAGGAAAAAATGCACGTTGATCAGTGTCATTTCTGGTGAATGAGTTTTTTTTGGTGAATGTCTTGATTAAACCATGCAAGTGCTTGTCTTCTGAAGTTACTTACGA